ACAACTGTTCTTAGAGTTTCCAATAAGCTCCACATTGTTAAATCCCAGGGTAATTGATAGCCATTACTTCCTCCTCCTTGAATACTTCTCTACGTGGCTTCCCAGGCAATACTCTTGCCTGATGTCTCTGCCATTTTTTGGACCACCCTTTCTCAGTCAGTTTTGCTTGTTTTTCCTCATCTTTCCTACTACTCAATATTGGAGTTTCCCAAGGCTCTGTCTTTAGATCTTTTCATCTATATTCCATTCACTATGAATGGATCTCATTCATTCATGTGTGTGAATGAATATGATCACATTCGGCCTCATTATTTTTAAAATACATGCTCATGTTTATCAGATTAATATTTCCAACTTGAAGTTTTCCCTGAGCTTCAGATTCAAAAACCAAACTGCCTATTTTACATCTCACTTGGAAATCTAATAGATCTTAAACTTGATATTTACAAAGGTGAGCCCTTGATACACTCTTCAAATATACTCTTCCCACATTCTTCACCACCTCTTAATGACCTCCATACTTCTAGATGTTGAGGACCAAACCTTGAAGTCATGTTTGCCCCTCCTTTTTTCTCTTACCCTACATATTCCTTGTCAGCAAATCCTATCGACTCGGTTCTCAAATATACCCACAACCTGACCACTTTTCACTACCAACACTGTTACCATCCTTTTCCAAGATACCATTATTCTCGCCTGGATTATTTGCATTCATCTCTGAATTGATGTCCCATCTCTGAATTGATGCATCTGTTCTTGCCCTAGTGCCACTAAATAGTATCTGAGTGTTTCTTTGAAAACATAAGTTAAATCATGTCATATTTTAGCTCAGTATTCTACAGGGGGTTCCCATCTAACTCAGAGTCAAATACATGATCCTGCATGATCTGCTCCACCTCCCATTACTTCTCGGTCTTCATATCTTATATACTTTGACTTCCCTGTTCCTTACACATCAAAACACACTCCCTCCTCATGGCATTGGCATCTGTTCTAAAATGACTGGAATGCTCTTCTCCCAGATGTCCACATGGCTAAGCAAATTCCCTTTAGACCTTCAGATCTTTACTCGAAATTCACCTTCTCTGTGACAATTTCCTGGTCCTTCTATTTAAAACTTCATTAGGGGCGCCTGGGTGGCGCAGTCGGTTAAGCGTCCGACTTCAGCCAGGTAACGATCTCGCAGTCTGTGAGTTCGAGCCCCGCGTCAGGCTCTGGGCTGATGGCTCAGAGCCTGGAGCCTGTTTCCGATTCTGTGTCTCCCTCTCTCTCTGCCCCTCCCCCATTCATGCTCTGTCTCTGTCTGTCCCAAAAATAAATAAACGTTGAAAAAAGAAAAAAATTAAAACTTCATCATACTCAATCCACCCCCCTGCCTGCAATACACATGTGATATACTTCCCTCCTTATTTTTCTCTCTCCAGCATGTATCACTTTCTAACATACTATACATTTTACGCACTTATCTTGTCTATTGGCTATCTCCATTAAGAATGCAAGTTATGTGAAGACAGAGCTTAAAAACAAAACAAAACTAGTGCCCTATTCCTACTGCCTACAATACTGAATATTTGTTGACAGCATACTAAGAGAACCGCCCTATTTTTGTAGGTACCTCATTTTGTTCATCTCTCATAATTAGTTCTATATTCAAAATCAGGCTCTCACACACAGCTCATTTTCCAAGTAAGGTGAATTCATAGTGAACCCTTTATTCCTTGTAGCTCTGCAAGAGTTCTTACTAACTCCCTATACTTTCTCATTGCTTTCAAATTGAAGGATAAACAAGTTTATAATCTGTCTCTTTTTCACCATCAAGGCAGGTAGGACCAGGCAAAATGAAAATGAGGATTCCCTCATTCCAAAATTATTTAGGACTTCACAATGGTGACAGCATGGATTAAATGCATGGGACCTATGAGACTGCACGAGTCATATGCCCATGATGCTGGCCCTATTAGTGGGGCTTTCTTAGAGCTGGAATTTTTTTTAACTTAAAAAAGAAGCATGGGATTTAGTGATCAGAAGTCACCTTCCCCTGTCAATGGTCCATGATGAATCTGTATTACAAAGGTTTAAATATTCCAAAGATAAATACAATTTAAATCATTAGTTATGGAAACTACATAGTCATTTTTTCTGGTTCTAAGTTGACTTCTCATTACATAAATTTTCATCTAGTTATAATTATTTATTGTCACATTATCCTATCCACTTATATTAATATTTTAAGATAAAAGTATCACTGGTGAGGGGCGCCTGGGTGGCTCAGTTGGTTGAGCGTCTGACTCTTGATTTCGGCTCAGGTCATGATCTCACAGTTCGTGGGTTCGAGTCCTGTGTATGGCTTCATGCTGGACGTGTGGAACCTGCTTGGGATTCTCTCTCTACCTCTCTTTCTGCCCTTCATCCCTCTATCTCAAAATAAATAAACAAACTTAAAAAAAACCACTGGTGAGATCTTTTGCAAGACATTGATTTATCATCTAAATAAGAACTTTTAGTTATTTATTTATTTTTATTTTAAGTAGGCTCCACAGCCAACATTGGGCTTGAACTCACAACCCTTTGATCAAGAGTCACATGCTCTACTGACTGAGCCAGGCAGGTATCCCATAAATAGGCACTTTTAAAGTGAGAAATGTTAAAGATGCTCATTTATTCAACAAGAGTTGAGTATAAAATCTATATATGCAAATTACAGTGCTTGGCTTTTCAAGAAATTTAGGCATTATGTGGCAGAAAATCAGGCTTTTTGTTGAAATATCAATTTTCCTAAAACAAATTAGCCAAATGATCAATTTGCTAAATGACCAATATGCCAAATTTACCAAATTAAATGAATGCAATTTAACATAAATAATTAGCAGCTTGAACAAATTGATTTTGGTTACTGATGGTGAAATATATAGAAAAATTATACACACATTTTTGAGTCTCACAACTGGGTTGTGAATTATATATGGATATGTGTATTTTATATTTATATATACTTGTTTCATACATATATGCACTTTTCCCTATTCACTTTATTGATCTCCAAAACATAGAACAGTTTTCCTCTTTGTTATAAACAATATGGATTCCTTCTATAGGAGGACTTTCTATAGAAAAGTCTGCCTATTTCAATGGTTCCTGGTTATAAACTGTTCTAGTATAGGATATGGGACAAAGTTTTTCATTAACTTCTGATTTATTTGTTAACACTTTTGAATGACATTTACTACCTTTTTAATACTAAAATCACTTAAAATATTTTAGTATTATTTCACCTATTCCTCATATTCTTTGTTAATTTATAAATTCAGAAGCATCTGAAAAAAATAAAAATTTTGAATTAAATTGTATTTAAATTACTTTTTAATGAAATCATCTAAAGTTTAACTTAGGTTAACTTAATCTAATTCTAATTTAAAAGCAGCAGAAAGAAATCAAAATTAACCAAGCAATTCCAACTTTTATTCCCACAGTACATTTTATTTTGGTTTTTGATATTGAAATATATATACACTTCTACACATTTCACAGCTAATAATTTAAAGTGAGTTGTTTTGAAAATGCTGCTAAGCAATTCTTGATAAAGCTGGTAACTATTGCTATATGACATTGCAGTCTTCAAATTTAGTAAGTTTGGCAAATAATTAATCAGCAAATTGGCATTCAATGAGCTGATTTTCTGCTAATTGACCAACTTCCAGATGGAGGAGGGAAGGGTGAGTAAAACCTGCAGAAACATCAATTTTCAGGAAGAAGAAGTAAGAGAAAAATAGAAGATGGAAATGATTGGAGAGGTAGGAAGAAACCCAAGACTCTTCAGAGGAATGGAATTTCAAGAAAGATGTTACCAGTGTCACATGCTACAAAGAGTTCCCAGAGGCAGTGGTGCCTTGCAGGCACTAGTTTCTGTGGGATGGTGACATGGGGAGTCAGTTTGCAGAACATTATGAGATGAATGTAATTAACCGGATCTAACAACAACAAAAACATTCAACCCCCGATGAGATAGGTATAAACTCTTGAAGAGCAAGAGCCTAATATTATTTTTCATATTTTAGAGTTCTGGCTTCTATTTCTTCTCTCTTCCCTCCCAGCTAGAGTAGTCAAGTTTAGTAAACACAGGATACTGAGTTAAATGTGAATTTCAGATAGATAATGAATAATTTTTAGGATGAGCATGTCCTAGGCATTGCAAACCCTCACTAGAGGTGTGCTAAACTGGGGGGCAGTGGAGGGGTTAAGTGCATTGGCTCTGGAGTCACTGCTTGGGTCCTCACTGCACTTAGCTACGTGGCCTTGGGTAAGTCACTCAAAGTTTGGTGCCTCAGTCCACAGCTTGGAACAATGGGGATAACAATAGTAATTGTCATTAATAGTAATCATAAGAGTCCTTTGGGGATTATTGTGAGTTGAAGTCTCTAAAGCACTGGGCATGGTGTTTGGGACATGCAGAGAAATCGATACATATTTGTATCGATACAGTATGATTGTCAATTAAAGGATCAGCACTAATTTATATGAATGTGAAGGGGAAAAAAACGTGTGGGGTTTGTGCATTAGGTGGACTTTTAGGCCCACCTGGTGATAATAATTAAAGCAGACTGGCAAATGAAAGTGTGTAGGCCTAGAATTGAAGGGGGGTGGGGAGTGGGGCAGGATTCATGGAAAACTTGCCCATTGATCTCTGTTGCCAGATGAAGTGGAGTCATTACACTCATGGAAACAGCCTTCAGACGTCAGCACCCAGGTTTGCCTGTGGAGGTCTGATCACCACAGACCGGTCGGGGCGGGATCAGTTCTCCCGCGCAGGGGAGTGTATCTGCGTGCAAATCCCAGAGGTGCGGCGGGAAGGCCCGGGGCGGGGCGGGCCTCGGGTGGCTGAGTTCGCCTGCGTGCGTGGGAAGAGCGTGGCGCGCGAGCGCGTCTCCGCCCGGACCCGAGCCCGACACTGGCTGCAGCTGCGAGTGAGCGGCGCGCGCGGACTCTGCGGGGCTGGCGCGGCGATGGGACACCTGTGGCTCTTGGGAACCTGGGGCCTCTGGGGGCTGCTCTTGTGCGCCGCGGACCCCCGCACAGGTAACTCATCCCGGGCACGGTCCGTGCAGACGCAACCCCTGATCCCAGGGGTGGCGTGGGAGAGGCGGGACTGCCTGCCACCAGCCCTGCGCCAAGGCTGCGAGTGCAGCTGCATGGCGATCCTGCGGACCTGGTACCTGCAGGGCAGGCCTAACAGAGAGACAGAGACAGAAGAGAAGAGGGATTGCTCTGAAGTCTTAAGAGTTCCTGCGTGAATTATGGAACCTCACAGCCCCCACCCCCAAGTGACTCCATTGAAAAAGACACTGAAACTTGGCTGGAGGTGGGGATGGGGGACACAGTCTGAGTCCTCTCTCTTCTCACTCTTTTTGGGTCCCTTTCCCCCAAGGTATGGAGAGCAGTGGCCCCCCTCCCCCCCCTTAGGACAGGAATGGATCTCTGTGACTGGTGTCAGTCACTTTCAGGGGCAGCTGCCCTGTGCCTTCAAAGTAATACCCAGGAGAGAGTTGGAAGAGATGATAAGATAAGAAATTGGAGTTGTCCATGGAGATAACGGGAGGATGAACCTGAGATAGGTGAGGAGCAGCACGGTCTTGGAGATAGGGTTCAGAGTCCTTACTGGAGTTTCCTACTCTTGGCTGAGACCTAAAGTACAGACACATCTGAAGTCCATACTAAACTTTTTTGCATGCAGGAATGGACTATACGATTATAATTTCTTTAACCTTTTCTCATATATCCATTTTATTTTTTTTTTCAACGTTTTATTTATTTTTGGGACAGAGAGAGACAGAGCATGAACGGGGGAGGGGCAGAGAGAGGGAGACACAGAATCGGAAACAGGCTCCAGGCTCTGAGCCATCAGCCCAGAGCCTGACGCGGGGCTCGAACTCCCGGACCGAGAGATCGTGACCTGGCTGAAGTCGGACGCTTAACCGACTGCGCCACCCAGGCGCCCTTCATATATCCATTTTAAACAGTAATTTGTGTGGCCTTTCTTTTTGGTCTCCGCTTAAATTTTTCCACCTACTTTGAGAATTGTTACTGAATCTTATAAGTACCAGATTTGTATAGTTTAAGCAGAAAACGAACTCTTGTAGCCAATGTGTATCTTTGAGTTGTTTTAAAGCATACTTCCAGTTCTCCAAAGAAGCAGTCCACTCACCCTTGCGTATGCAGAGGCCCCTCCCTGTTTCTAGACCTCTTTATCTTTCCCAAACTTGGTCCAGGCCAGCTATTTACATTGGCCCTGCAAGATGCAGCCGGGGTCCCCCTTCTTTCAAGAAGCCAGTATGACCCAAGCAGTGTGGATGAAGTGCCCCTTCTTAGTTAGCCATGGCCCCTGTGCTGTCTTCTGTGTGCTGTCACTCTGTGCTGTCTATCCTAACTTTTGGAAAGTTGGGACTGTCAATACATTTGTATATCCCCAGGAACCTTACACCATTCATTGAATGAGTTAGGGACCATTAGAGTAAGAACTTACTATCATCAGGAGGCTGAAAAGATCCCAGAAATTATCTTCCCTAAAGTCTTACTCTGTCACAGAAAACAATTTCTTCTTAAGACATATCATTACCTTTTGTACCTGGACTATTCTTTCAATTGACCCAGCTTTGCACTTCTTCTGTGCTCTTATAACGAACAACCCGTTTCTCCACAGTATTATTTCTGCAGCATTGTCTGCTACTGTGTGGGCTGCTAACTGTAGTTATGGAACTGTAGTTAGTGAGCACTACATGAAATTAAGGGTTGGAATAAATCTTTTGTAATATGATAGGTAAGAGTGATGAGAATGATCATGTATTATTCCCACTCTTTGTGGCACCTAAGATAGTACTTTGCATATAGCCAATGGGTATTAATTAAGTTAATGACTTCGTTTCTGTCAAATCATTGGTTAGTAGTAGAGCCACAAATAGAATATGGGTGTATTTACTTTCAGTCCTGTATCTTCATGATGTTTTTCTGTTAACATTGTAATATGTGGTACCATTTGATGCTTGAAATGAGTACTTGATGCTTTTACTTCTGCACTGTAATATCTTTCAGGTGGCTCCAAAATTATTCCCAAAGTCACAGAAATAATACCTAAATATGGCAGCATAAATGGAGCGACAAGGCTGACTATCAAAGGAGAAGGTAAGGTTGCCTCTTTTTTTCTTTTTCTTTCTTTTTTTTTTTTTTTTTTTTTTTTTTTTTTTTTTTTTTGGCCAAGGTTGAAGCATTTTAAAGACTATATCACATTTAGAGATTTGTGGTTTAAAAAAAAATCCATAAGAGTTGTTTCTCCATTTGGCCAGAATATTAACTCTACCCCTTTGACAACTAACAAAATCCCCAACAATCTCTACCATCCTGATCATCTGAATTCATACTATAATCACTTGCTTAATTTAACTTCCAAGATCTGGATTATAATGACTGAATTGAAAGGAACATTTTTTTAAAATGTTTATTCATTTTTGAGAAAGTGAGCATGAGCAGGGGAAGGGCAGAGAGAGAGAGGGGAACAGAGGATCCAAAGCAGGCTCCACACTGACAGCAGAGAGCCCAATGTGGGGCTCCAACTCAGGAATGGTGAGATCGCTACCTGAGCAAAAGTTGGACGCGCAGCTGACTGAGCCACCCAGGTGCCCCCAAAAGGAAAATCTTGAATCCACCTTGACAGTTATTTGCTTTGTTCTTCATGGGTCTAATAACATTTAATTTATCTTTATCAAATATAACATTTGGAGGGCTTGGGAAGTAGAATGTTTAATAAGAGGCTGTGATGGATAACTAGAATGTTAATGAAGGCAGAAAGGCAATTAAAAGCAAAACTTTGGATGGCTTCTCCTGTCACCCAGTCCTTTTCATATACTTCATCAAAGTATGGGTTATGTATGACTTTCTCCTTGCCTGGTCATGGGTGGAAATATAGTGGGCAATCAGTGAACTTCTTTAATGAACAACTGTTCCTAAGATTAAATATATGGTTCTTTTAGTCCTAAGGCCTTTGCATTCTAAATAATAGTAATATTCTGTTCATGGATTTTTGAAGGATAGGAAAGAAAAGCATTTTTGAAAATACAAAAAACTATTATTTAGTCTTTAAAATAAAAAGACAAATGAGAACCTTTGGGAGTTAGAATGGACAGAGCAACACATTTAATTATTCTGTCATACATACTGAAATGTCTTTTGATACTTCTAAGTAACATTTCTGCAGAATTCGATCTCTCAATGACATATTTAAAATGGTTTATGCCTCTAAATTGTGAAGAATATATTTTGGACTAACATTTGATTGTTGTTGTTTAGAGCTAAACACCTAAAGCCAATGTATTTGCTGAAGACTAATTTAAAAGAGGCTTTATCCATAGTTTCCTTGTGTTGTAAATTGCTGTTAAGATGTGCTTGAAAGCTATTTGGTTCTTAACAGAGTTTTCAAAGCCATAAAGAAATGCCCAGACTAAAACAAAGCAAAACACAACAAAATAAAACAGAACAGAACACCACTCAACTATTTCTTTCTGCCTTGAGACCTAAACTTTTTCTGATCTAAAAACCATTCTTTGAGATTAAGTATGTAGACCCAGATGGCCCTTAGTTATAAATACAAAACAAAACATTCTATTCTTAAGGTGTTTTGGAAGAACATCTTTATGAATTTAGCTGTAACCTTTGCTCTTACATGGACTTTCTGAGTCACAGTGTATTGTGTGTCACTCGTGTCATGATGAATTTCTAGTTTTCCCATCTGTCTCAATTGCTGGATGCTCTTGCTAGAGATAGAGGATCATGGGATAGTGAAATCCTATTTGAGTTGCAGATACCTGCATCCCCACCTTGATTTGTCTTCCCTCTTCTTACTTTACCCACGTACTGCAGGTGACTAAAAATGTGTTAGCATATGTCTTTCTCAGAGGCTGAGTCTAAATACTGTTTTATATAGGTTTTCAGGGCCCATGATATATACAGAATGTGTATAGAGCAATGTAATGAATTTACAAAACACACCAGACTTCCAAAGCTAAGTGAATGTGCTACTTGAACAAACTTTTTTGAAGAACTACATACACATACTCCATCAGTGCTCTCTAACCCATATTTCATGTTTAGAATTGCATGCAGACCTAATTTATTAATCACACAAGAACACTTTCTAAATGGAATTGTCACTGCTAGATGATTACCTAAATGTTGGTCCCATATGACTATATAAATACTTTTTTTTTGTACAAGTCATGATGAGAAAATTAAATGTTATAGAAATGTTCAACTTAGAAAGTGAGTTCCTGAAATTCGACCATCTAGAAAGGTCTACCGTTAATATTTTGGTGTATCCACGTGACTTACGGCTATTTCCATATATCATATTCACCATTGCAGGCAGAAATTTGCTGCTGCATTACTTTGTTCTAGAGGCTAGGCTTCAGGAGCCAAAGATATAATTTTACAATTATATGGCCTAAGTAAAAGTGTTTTCAATATTTTTGAAATGTTTATTTATTTGTGAAAGAGAGAGAGAGTGAGACAGAGTGCTAGTGGGGGAGGGGCAGAGAGACAGGGAGACAGAATCCGAAGCAGGCTCCAGGCTCTGAGCTGTCAGCACAGAACCCAGCGTGGGGCTTGAACCCACGAACCACGAGATCATGACCTGAGCTGAAGTCTGGTGCTTAAAACCCCCTAAGTAAAAGTGTCTTGAGCAATGGCATGATCATGGAAATAATTGTGTCTCTGTCTAGGAGGCCTACTTTAATGAGGAGTGTTATCGTTTTGATTAGTTCTGGAGTGTTTCTAACTTTCTTGGCCTTGTTACTTTATATTCATACCTTGTATTTCTCAAATGTCTTTTTTTAATATTTCTCTTAAGTGAGTAAGATGGAAGGAGTAGTATTTTACTTTTGGCTTTTTTTTCTAGAGATTTCCCTATTACATATATTTTTGTCTAACCGAAGTATTGAATTATATAGTTTTTATAATGTTATGAAAACACAGGGACTTTTTGGTCCAGTCTGACTGGCTTTTGTTCCATCTCTGCCCCTTCCCACTGTGTGACTGGGGCCGGTTACTCCTCTAAGCCTCAGCTTCCTCATCAGTAACATGGGATATTAATTCCTACCTGTTGGGGCTGTTGTAAATATTGAAAAGGATGATGTATCTAAGGTACCCATAGATACTATCTGTTCCGTAAATTAGAGCTATTTTATTTTTATTATTTTTATTTTATTTTTGCATTTATGTTCTAGGTTTGGTTCCATTCTTTAGGAATCATCCTTCATCACACTGCACCTTTTCTTCTCATTGTTTTGAATGTTACAACTTTGGAGTAGGTTTATATGCTTTCAACTCTGCTTTGTTTTTAACTAGAGAAACCCAAACAACCTGCATTGTGCAAAACGACTACTGGCCTTAACAACACTGACATTTTCCATGATAGCAGCACAGGCTGCTATCAGGAGAACCAGGTTTGTGTGCCTGGCAAGTCTTATCTCCAGTTTTTCTGCAAAAGAAAAAAATACATCAACGTGCCAGGAATTTCCATCTGAAGCTTCAGCGTTTTCTGTTTCCAGGGTACACCCAACCTTTCCTGTAATCTTTGTGCTTTGGAGTACTTCCAGAGGTATCTTCTTCATACTCAATTATTTTTTAGAATTATACTTTTATATTGAAATTCTTTCTAGAGGGGATTCTTTTTAACTCTTTGGAGTTAGCTAAAACATTAGAAATATTTCTATAGTTGTTTTTTTAAGTAGAATTTATGAGGATATTTTCAAATCTTACAGATTTGGCCTATGCTTTCCCATAGATTTTACTCCTGGGAGATATGTCTATATATGTGACATAAATACTGTATAAAATTTGTGTATGACGTATATGACATTAAATATATATGTGACATTAAGTATATAGATGACATTAAAACAACTCCTAAGCAAAAAAACCAAACAAACAATATCTTCTTTTGTTGGTTTTATTTTTTACAATTGTATTTGCCTTAAGAATGCTTATGAACAGATCTGTGTTACCATATCAATTATGTGACATGTGCCTAATAGGAAAATAAATACATGCATCACATCCTGAACCACACCACTAGTAAAACTTTCCATGCTTTAGTTAGTTTCCAGCAGCCCTTCTGTGTATTTCAAACTCAACAGGAACTCCAAAGATAAGCATTGGCTGGCAAAAGGAAAGAACACGTTTTCAAGTAGCTAGCTTTCCTCTGTTTTCATGGATCTTTTCAAAATTCCATTTTAGCAGTAACTGCCATCCTAGAATCAAAGCTTCAGATTCAATGCAGATATCTTTTACTTGTTAAATTGATACTTATATTTGAACTTTAGCCTATGTTGGATAAGTTCTGTTTGTTTACAGTTTATGCTTAGAGGAAGAAAGCGGTATTTATTGAAATCCCTCCCCTTTGTTGAGTTCTGCTTATGTTTTCTATGTTTAAAGGACAGGAGAAGAGCTAAGAACATAGAGTCTGGAGGAAGTTATGTATGGTAATGGGTAATAGCTTTGTAAGGAATATTTTTTAATGTTATTTTTCTCCCAATATCATGTGTGCCAGGTTGACATCTATAATTAGATTCAAATCCTAACCACCCACTTATTAGTTTTGTGTTATTTATAAAAAGGAATATTAATACTGAACTTAAACTTCAGGATTTTTGTGACCAATAATAAGAGCAAATATCATCTGAGCTCTTAACATGTGAGCCAAGCACCAAGCTAAGCAATATATACAATCCTTGGTTAGTCTTCCTACAATCTAATAAGTATGTTATTATGTTCATTTTTCTGATGAGGAGACTTAAGAATGAGACAGTTTATGTCTAAAATTCTAATACCCAAAGTCATGCAACAAGGACATGTGGAGCTGGGATTTTACCCAGGATGTCAGGGTTCCTTTAAAAGCACTATCTCCTGGGGCAGCTGGGTGGCTCAGTAGGTTAAACCCCAACTCTTGATCTCAGCTCGGGTCATGATTTCACTGTTCGTGGGTTTGAGCCACGCATCGGGCTCTGTGCTGACATTGTGAAGCATGCTTGGAATTCTCTTTTCTCTGTCTGCCCTTATCCTGCTTGTTCTCTCTCTCTCTCTCTCTCTCTCTCTCCAAATAAATAAACTTAAAAAATAAATAAATAAAATAAAAATAAAAGCACTATCGTCTAACATGTAGCTTTACCAGAGCTGGGGCTTTGGGGCTTTGGCATTTGATGAACCTCTAGCACAGTGTAGTCCTACTTCCAGTCCTACCTTAGACAAGGCAATATTCATGTTTTCTCATGGACTTTTTAGAACACCAAAAATGTTCAATACTTTAAAAAGAAGTCACGCCACAGATATCTGTGAACCCCAATTCAGCCACTTCAACTATTAAAGGTTGTTAATTGTGAGCACTTGTGGTAGTAGTGATTGTTTTCTGAAACAAGCTGCAAAACTACTGACAATTTAAAGCAAGTACTTAATATTTATTTTTTCTAACATTAGTAATATATACACAGGATTTAGAGTTAAATCTACATCTTTGGGTTTAATATTTTTCATGGCTTGCAGATTTTAAGTTTATTATGGTACTGTGGGACAATATGCTATGTAGGGATTAGGTTCTGAAATTCAGATAACATAAATTTACATTAATGACATGTATGCAAAGGAAAAAAATTCATAATTAAAAAATATTAGTCATCAATTTGGCAATAGTGCTGTTTTAATGTTAAGCACTTGTGATATTTAGAAAAAAATAACATTTAAAAATGCACATACTTTTTAAAACTAAGAATTTAGGAATTTTAGATTTTGAAGTGGTCAACTACTGCTCATTTACTAACTCAACTTTATTCCAGAAAATATTGTAACATTAACAAATTCATATATTCACTCTGCATGTTAGAATACTAAGTATCTTTTAAACATTTTTATTAGAAGAATATTTAATTATAGGATTTAATCAATAGAACATTATCCAATTAATCTTAACCAAAGATATTATTTCTTGGGTTATTTTCAAAATTGAATGTTATTCCAACTATATAAAATACTTACCTGTGGCATAAAATTACTTAATGGATATTTAACTACTTCCAGATCTATTCTGGAATTTTCATATATTTATAGTAAGATTAAAATAATTTTCATCAATTAAAAAATAATTTTCTACTCTGTTTCACATCATCCATTTCTCTGGTTCTATTGAATCACACCCATTAGCATGCAAGCATACTGTTATTTCACCAACCTAAAAAAAAGCAAGAGCAAAATCATCAAGTTTCCTCTTGCCCTGCAACCCCCTTCTGGCTACCACCCACGTCTCTGCTTCTGTGTACAGTAGAACACCCCCGAAAGGTATAAGTTTCTCTTCACTGATTGTCCTCCAATATTCTCTTGACCCCATGCCAATTATTTATCCATTGATCACTGAAATAGCATCTTCACTGCTGCCCCTCATCTATATTCTGAGAATAGAAGCTAGTGAATCTTAGAAGCTAGTGAATCTTAGAAAATGTAAGTCACATCATGCCCCTCCTCTGCTATGAAGCCTCTAGTGCTTTCTCACTCAAAAATAATCTAAATGCCTCAACTTCTGGTCCCATGTCCTACCACTCTTCTCACACATACTTCTCCAACCGTGCTTGCTAATTCTTGAGTCCAGAAACATGTTCCCAGTATAGAACCCTGAACATCATGTTCCCTCTATCTAAAATGCACGCGCCATAGATAGTCTCCTGGCTTACTCCTTCCAAAAAGCTTTCTTGACCATTTATGTCACATACCTCCTATATCCCAGAAACAGGGTTTGAAATCAGAAACAAGAAGGTCTTGGAAACAGGCACGTGAAGGGGCTCATGGTATGAGCACAAAGTATGCAGATCTGTATGTCTCAAGTTAATTCCTGCAAGAGAGGATCCCCCACAGAGGAAACAGAGCAACCACGTTGATGGAGTGACTCATTCAGGAACTTCTCTCTTTGTCCACCTCAGTGCTTGTGCAATGGGCCCATGAACAGAGGGGCCATGAGGTGAAGGCCATGGGCCAATACCACGGACTCCCTTTTCCCGAGGCTAAGCTGCTCACTGCAGTTGCTGAATACCTGACCTGCCAGTAGCAGAGACCAATACTAAGCCCTCAATAGGGTCCATCCCTCAAGAAGTCCACCACCTATTTAGTCACAAGTTGATCGCATTACTCCCCTTCTCTCATGGAAAGAACAAAGATCATTATTGCAGGAACAGACCCTTCGGATATAGATTTTGCCTTCTCTATCCACAGTGCCTCTGCCAGTTCCATCTTAGAGCTTCCAGAGTCTGAGTTATTGCCATGAAATTCCACAGAATAGTGCCTCATAACAAAGAAAACATTTTATAGTGAAAAAGTTGTAATTATTGGCACATGACCACAAAACCTGTGTTACCCTGAAAGATGTGGCCTAGTAGAATGATGGAATGGTCTATAACAGATAAGTCAGCTATAAAAGGGGTCTATAAAAGATCCCAGCTAGGAAACAACGTTCTGTGGGATGAGATGCTAGCCTCCATCATATGCCATATGCATGGAGCCATGGCAGATACATGCTGCTGTTTCCCAAGAGACAGAACACTTGGAGCTGGAAAAAAATGGTTACTCTCTGTCAGTATTGCTTTCAGTGATCTGGAAACTGAATCTGTGCTTTCTGTCCCTACAGTTTTAGATTCTGCTGGATTATAGAATGCTCTTTCTTTCTTTCTTTCTTTCTTTCTTTCTTTCTTTCTTTCTTTCTTTTTTTCTTTTCTTAAGAGAGAGAGAGTGTGTGCACATGAGCTGGTGGGGTAGGGACAGGGAGAGAGGGAAACAGAAGATTTGAAGTGAGCTCCATGCTGAAAACAGAGAGCCCAATGAGGCGCTCAAATTTACGAACTGTGAGATCATAAGTTAAGCCAAAGTTGGACACTTAACTGACTGAGCCATCCAGGTACCCCTAGAGAATGCTTTTGCCAGAGATCCCTGTATGGCTTCCACTGAACTGAAACTACCACTACTACTTGATCTGTTTGAATTCATCAAACATAATTAGCAGACTACTAGAGATAATCAGTACTGATGATCATGGAGAGGTAGGGTTGCTTTCCCTAATGGAGATAGGGAGGAAGATGTCTGGAATTCAGGGTATTAATGGAGTATCTCTTGGCTTCTGTGTCCAGTGATAACTGAATAGGCGATTGTGGTAACCATAGCCTAACAAGGGCAAGGCAATTAAGGGCTCAGACCCTCAGTATGAAGGATAGTGTCACTCCATTAGTTGAAGTACTGGTTAAGGGTAAGGAAATCTATGTGTGGTAAAAAAAATAAAATGAGTATGGTGAGTATTCATTATAGCCTCAGGAACCATTGTGTTAGTGTGGCCTGTATCTTGCCCCACTAACCTTCTGGTATTAAATCTTTAGCAGAGCTCTTGGCTTGAAAATGGATTGTACTTAAAGTGTGGGGCATAAGCATGTCTATATGTTGTGAAGAGTTGACGGTAAGAGGTGTCTTTTACACTCAGCTTCACATCCTCTTGTTCTCACCTCTAATGCTAGCCACAGCCATGGCAAATAGTCCCTCATATACTTTGACAAAGTCTATGCTTGAAGCTCTTGCCTTCTGTGCCCATAGCATGTCTTTGTCTATTGTCCCAGGGCTTCACTGATGCAATGACTTGGGACATTGGAATCCATATGGCATGTGGACATATGTGCAGCCCGAAAGTGCAGGAAAAACCCTTTTCCCCTAGGGAGAACTCTCAACTAATGCGGACAGGATTTGATGAAGTGATGTTTCTTGCCATTGATTCTTTGATTCTGAAAGGTAGTCTGTAGTTTCCTTGGAAGTTTCCAGCAAGATTGAACCCCAGCTGTGCTTTTGGCTCAGGTTTTCTTTCTTCAGGTTTTATTCTTTTGTCCCAAAGGGGTCATCACTTGAATAAACCATTTGCTTGCAAGTTCTCACCTCAGATTTTGCTTTTTAGGAACTCAAAGTTAAGATTCCATCCCTTATAAAATAGTGTTCACCTCATCTACTCTTCCTACCCCATCAGGCCTGCTTGGTTTCATAGCAGTTATCCCCAGCAGATATAGCAATTGGTGCACGTCTGTTTTCTCCAGCCTTGCACACCCTACCACTGGAATCTAAGCTATTTAATTCCATGCCTAACAAATAATACGTTCTCAAGCATTACTTTTGTGGAGAAATGAATTGAAAGCAATTTTTTATGCTTCCAAGGAGGATTATAATCATTGGGAGAAATACAAAATAGGTTAACTGCTTACTTTAGTACTATTCCTTATTATTTATTGATGATTCAGTACTGAGTGACAATTGTTAGATCTTTGAAAACAGAATTCCATTAATAATAATTCAGTGTTTTTACCTTTCCAGGTTTTGCTCAAGCAAACCAGTTTAACTATGGAGTTGATAATGCTGAGTTGGGAAACAGTGTGCAATTAGTTTCCTCTTTCCAATCATTTTCTTGTGATGTAGAAAAGGATTCAAGTCATTCAACTCAAATTACATGCTATACTAGGTATGTTTTATACTACCTTTAATAAGAATATCTTTCTCATATACATATTAGTTTTATATAGTTTTTTATATAATCTGGATATTAATAATATTTTCTGATGATCAGCTGTCTTTATTTCATGTAGTTTAGACTATTTTATAACTTTATTGTATTGAGTTGTAATGCTCTTTCCACATATTGGCACAATAAAATATATTCTAAATCTTCTCCCAGGTTATTATAGCTATTATCTTATCATTGTTGATCCCTTTTAGAAGATAAATGGCTACTATTAAATCATAATGATGCTCCTCAAAATATCAAAATTATGCTTTCCTGTCTGATTTGATTAATTTTGTTCAAAGTCTTGACATAATCATTAAGATTAAAAATGATCATTTTGTAGAGTGACATTTCAAGTTCTTTACTATCAGCCCAAAATGATGTTTGTTATTAGCAACTTAGAGGAAAAAATTAATCATTATAAATGGCAACTTTTACTAATAAGACAGGTAGCATGTATTCTAGAGGATTTCATCTACATTGAGCTTGTTGGCTATTTTTCAGCAGCAAAAACTTTCTTAGAAATTTGATCAAACTTTTTAAAAAGTAAATCATAGCATAACTGTACCAAGGTGACAATGACAGAGTTTCAAGTTATTATTCTTACATTTGTTAATACATTTGTTTTCCTCCTCAGTAAGCACCAGTGCACTTAGAATAAGCATTTGCCTGAGGTCCATGATGCTAGAATCTGCAGTACAGAGTTCAGGATGGACCTCTCTCCATAATATAGAATGGAATTCTAGGGGCGCCTGGGTGGCGCAGTCGGTTAAGCGTCCGACTTCAGCCAGGTCACGATCTCGCGGTCCGTGAGTTCGAGCCCCGCGTCGGGCTCTGGGCTGATGGCTCAGAGCCTGGAGCCTGTTTCCGATTCTGTGTCTCCCTCTCTCTCTGCCCCTCCCCCGTTCATGCTCTGTCTCTCTCTGTCCCAAAAATAAATAAATGTTAAAAAAAAAAATTTAAAAAAAAAGAATGGAATTCTAATAATATAGAATGGAATTTAGCTGTATGTCAATTAGAATTTTTGACACTTTGTTTTCAAAAATGACTTGTAGTCTGGGGCAGTATTTTTTATTGATGGCATACATGAAATAAAAGGGTCATTGCATTCCTTATATGTTCTTCATTTGCTTTGCAGAGCAATGCCAGAAGGTTCCTACACCGTGAGAGTCAGTGTGGATGGGGTTCCTGTTACAGAAAGTAATACCTGCAGAGGTCGCCTTGACAGCTGGGCATGCACCTTCAATGTACATGGGATCTCCTCTTTAGTTTAACGGATAATCGATCTCGTGCTTGCTTTCTTGCAGAACTGGGCTTTTATTTTTTAATTTTACAGATTGTTATCTTTTCCACATTTAAAAAATATACTAGCAGGTAGCTAAGGATAACTTCACTCAGTTTTATTTATCTTCTATGGTAGTGGAATCTCTTTTATCATTTATTTGTTTCCCTCTTTAATTTTACTATTGAATTAAACTTTTAAACTTTAAATTGTTTCCTCACTCATACTCTTTTTTCTTTTTCTCCATTTCTACTCTTAGTTTGATTTTCCTTTTCTTATTGTCATTGGATTCACCTTCATTTTAAATAGCCTATTTTTCCTTTCTTTATAGTTTCTAATGTAAAGAGATGAAATATAACTGCACGTACCATAGAAGTCATGCAAAATGTAATTACCCTATATAGAGTTATTTACAATAATACATTTCTTCTAAGGATAATCCATATATTTTTAAAAATTATGTGTGTCTATCAAAAGTATTAGAGTTTCCATCACCCTTGTGGGCTCCCTGGACTTCTGCTCTCTCCCAATTCCAATCATGTTTGTCACAATTCTTAAGAATTATACCTGCATTGCTCTAGAAAGTTATCATTAGCTTAGTTACTAAAGCTTACTTTGATGGACTTTTGCCAGGTTTTGCTTCTGTTTATGAAATATGCTTTGTTATTTTTTCTCCATTGGCTTAAATAAAAGGAGGTTTTCTGTAATTTTATTTCACCAAATTCCTAAAAGTTGTTACCAGAGAACCTTATTACTAGGGCTTGACTAACACTGATAACGAAGGATGATTGAATGTGAAAATTCCAAGCTAAAAACATTTTGAAATGAAAGAAGATTTTTAGTGGCTAAGGAAAAGATCTTGAATAATCAGAATAATATTCTAAACTTTATTTTCTTATATGTAAAAAGATATATTTTGTCAGTCATATTATGGATATTGTTTAAATGTAAATAATGTAGGGAGCAGAGATTATTAGCTTATTGACAGTATTATTTTACAGGCAAAAAGTTTCAGAACCCCAACAATAAAGAGCATCACACCTTTATCTGGAACTCCAGGTCTGTTATAAGACAGCTGAAATATTTTTTTTTGGTTTGTGGTCTTTAATTTTTAGTATATAAAATTATTATATCTGATAATTTATAAGTAATATTTCTTTTTTATTAAAGTATTTATTTATTTTGAGAGAGAGAGAGAGTGCACATGTGTGAGTGCGGGAGGGGCCGAGAGAAAGGAAAAGGGAGAATCCTAAGCAGACTTCTCACTGTCAGTGCAGAGCCCAGCGCGTGGCTCAGACTCACAAACCGTGAGATCACGACTTGAGCTAAAACCAAGTTGAACGCCAAACCGACTAAGCTTTCCAGGTGCCCTAAATAACACATTTCTGATTGTACAGTAGCTCTCAATATTGTCTCAAAAATGATTTTCAGTGGGTGCATATGAATCTGCTATAAAGTATTTAACTATACCCCTATCGGACATTTAGCTGGCTTCCACTTCATTATAGTTATAATTATACCAGTGTATAATCCCAACAGGAATATGTGAAAATACCCTTTTCTATACTCTTTACAATTTTAAGTACTAATTTTTTTCAAGTATTTATATGAAAAATATAGTAGCTTATTTCTAAATTTTCCAGTTCTTGATTTATGCAGTTAAATTTACTCATTTATGGGGCGCCTGGATGGCTCAGTCAGTTGGACGTCCAACTTCGGCTCAGGTCATGATCTCACAATTTGTGAGTTCAAGCCCTACGTCAGGCTCTGTGCTGACAGCTCGGAGCCTGGAGCCTGCTTCGGATTCTGTGTCTCCTCTCTCTGCCCCTCCCCAACTGTGCTCTGTCTCTCTATGTCTCTCAAAAAATAAATAAATGTAAAACAAAAATTAAAAAAAAATTACTCATTTATGTATATTTATTGACCATTTGTATTTCTTCTTTTATAAATTACTTGTTCATCACATTGGTTTAATGCTAGTCAATTTTTCCGTATTAAGTTACAAAAATTCTTTATATTTTAAAGATATATATATCTTTATGTGGAAAGTATTTTTTTTAATTTACCATTTACTTTTAAATTTCATTAATGGTTTTTCTTGTCATTAAGACATTTTTTATTTTCTAAATTAAATCTATAGCTCTTAACCATTGTCATTTCTTCATTCATTTTATGCTGTAGAAGGCTGTACCACCCCAAATTATATAGATATTTTATAAATTTATACTTATTTTTCAAGAGTTTTTATGGTTTTAGTTTTATATTTAATTTTTATTTCTCTTAGGATTTATTTATTTTTTTTGGTAGAGATCTTATTTATTTTTTCAAATATGTCATTCATGACCCAGGCCGTATTTATTGAATAATTCATTCTGTTTTTCATGAAAAACTTCTTTAATAAATACTTTAATAAATACTATCTATAAATACTTACAGATAGTGCTTTAATACCATAAATACTCATGTTTTATTGTATTTGCTAGAACTTTCAGAACAATGGTAAACAATAGTGATGAACATGGGATATAAGTATTTGGATGCCTGTTTTATTGGGAATACCTCTGATGTTGGGTATTAAGTGTATGGGTGTATGGGTAGATAATCTTACACAGATTTTTTTGTTTGTTTGTTTTAGGCACACTAATAACTATCCAAGGCAGAATCTTCACTGATGTTTATGGAAGTAATACTGCATTAAGCTCAAATGGGAAAAATGTTAGGATTTTGAGGTAAATTTTTGATGTGGAAACATATGCTTATCATGGTATCTCATGATGTGATATTCCAAAATTAATGGGTGCAATGATATTAAAAATCACTACAATGTGATGGGATTAAGCAGTGTATTTTCAGCCATATTATAGGAAGAAAAGTAGATTATTAGATGATTCATCCATCAACATGGAAGCAAAGGGCCAATATGCCATTCTTTTTTGGTTTGATGTAATTCTTTTTTTTTCTTTGATGGATATTATTAATGGAAGGAACATGGAGGCAAGTTCAATAGTAATTGAGTTAGTCATAGAACTTTATTACTGGATAACTTGTTACCTAATCTAACTGCCTCAATTTGTATATATATGTAGCTGTGTAGCTTGGAGGTTTATAGCTTAGTCAAGATCAGTGGGATGGGGGAAGATGGGGGGAACCGAAGCCTCCTAACATGCAGTTTGGCCCTTTTTCTTCTACCCCATGGTGCATGGGAGAGTGCTGAAACTGAAAATAGTTAATAACTTATAGTGATAGTGTAGGATTTGAACACTGGTTCCTCTGTTTACCGGCTATAGACCAGATGGTAATATTGGCTACTTACCTAATATCAAGAAATAATTGTCCACATTTTGGACCAGAAACTAGCATTGTCACTAGCATTATCTTTCTGTAGCATAGGTGTGCTATACCTATTTCATTCCTGCCTTGGAAGACATAAAGCCCTCTTCATTTGCTATAGAAGGAAGTACAGAATCAGTACTATGGCTTTGAAGAGGCTCCATGCTTATCGAATACATGTATAAAATGGATAAATAAATTAGATAGCAATTCATACAGCAATTAGAGGTTTTTTTAAATACTGAAAAGGTGATATATATGTATACACACATATGAGTATATAACTGTGTAAAGCAAGTAATTTGAAAGGTTTTACTAAATGAAACAAAGGTAATTTAGGTGGCAATCTGTGAGGTAGAACTCAAATCACATTTGTATGCATGTGTAATACTCTGGAAATGTTTATATTGTTTCCTTACATATAATAAAATAAGTACTAAATAGAGAAAAAAATACTTAACATTTTGTATAGATAGTTTAGCATAAAGATTTTGTTTGCTTCCATATAGTTGAATGCCGTGAATGGCATATATTCTAATTCTTAGATGATATTTTCTAAGTCATCCTTTCCTATCATAATGCCAGGAAATAGAAAGCTTAACCTTCAAGAAGATTCCTTTTTTCGCAATTGTAGCTGAAATTTCTTGTGTTTAGTACAGGGGAATGGATAGAAATTATTTCATGAAATCACAGGACTGCAGTCAGCAGCGACCTAGAGATCAGGCTACCTAGCCCTTATATCCTGGAGACCCTGAGATACTATATAAATGTAGAAAAACTTTTCACACACCTATTGATGTGAGAGGTGAAGAAGGTCTTAGAACTGCATTTATCTCATTTCTACCATCTTAATTGTGACACCAAGTACCCCCAAAGCTGTTTACTGGGCTTGATTCCCTTAGCAGGGAGCAGTGGCCATGTTCTGAGCACGAAGTCAAGACACCAAGGTGTTTAAGCTGCTTCTGCTTCTCACAGGTCTTGTCAATTCAGCCTAATCTCCAAACTCAGACGAGGTACAAATTATAGAGGACACACAAATAACTAACGGACTTGGTACCCACTAAGGAGATTTTGGTATAAAAGATAAGATGGAAAAAATTTTATATATTTAAGGCCAAATAGGGTAGTAATCCCACTGATAGGCAAATCCAGATCACTGTGGGAATCACTGGGCATGGTTAAGAGCACCTGCTGGAGTCCAACTGCCTGGGTTTGAATCCCGAATCTATTCCTTATGGCTGTAGGCTTAAGCAAGCTACTTAACCTTCCTGCCTCAGTTTTTTCATCTATAAAATGGAAGAGTAATAGTTACTAACCCATAAGATGGTTGTAAGGATTAAACATAGTAAATGCCTGTAGGTGTTCGCTGCTAAATTTATTATTTAGATGCAATAAAGTGGGAAGTTAGAAGGAGAATATGAATCCATAAATCTCATACTGGGTACAGTAATTCAGTGTACTTGCATTACAAACCTAATGTAATGATAAAAGATTAGTGTGTAAGAGTATATTAAAAAGTGTAAAGTTCTCTGCAAACTCAAGTCCTAACTTTAAGAGTTCATGTTTGTATCTGCACTTACTTTGAATCTGGGATTTGTTGGCACGGAAGCTGGGTGGTTTGTTCTGAGTGCAGCAAAGAATACAGTACCAGTCATACCTGCAGGCTTCCAATAGCATCAGGGTCTGTCACCCTTAAAGCAGTAGGTTGACCTGGTCATCTAGGGAAATGCACAGGCAGATGTTTCCCTCAAGCCTAACCCTGCCTCTTCTCAGCTTTTTATTTCTATTCCAGTGGCATTGAGGATGTTAGTTCTTCTTTTCATCCTGATTTCTCTGTGGGGTTTCTGCTGTGGACCTTGTGTAATTCCTACCTGTAGGAATCAAAGGAACATACTTTGTATTACAAAACACAAAATTCTGTTTTGTATTTGACTTAATTGAACTTCCGATGGAAGAGTTCCCATTATCTGTTTCCACATTTTCTGTTCCTGTGGTATTATAACTTTCTAACACACCAAATGTATTATGATTATCATGTTTGTTATCAGGTCTTTCTCAGTTAGAATGTCAGTCCTACAAGGGCAAGATTTTTGTTTTATTCCCTGATGTGTGCTAGTATCTACAGCAGAGACTGCAACATAATAGATGTACAGTAGGTGTTTGTTGAATGAATGAGTGATGGATAATAATAAGTGATTGTGAGAAAAATATAAGGTGTCAGCGAGCTTCGTCAGAGGAGAGCATTTTGAAATGACTTACTAAACATAACTTGATCTTTTCCAATAAAATATTTATACAGAGTTTATATTGGAGGAATGCCCTGTGAGCTTCTCATACCACAATCTGATAATTTGTAAGTAATTCAAATAATTTTATTTAGAATATGAATAGTAGGTATAAACATACCAGTGTAAATAGTAATATCTAGCAATACTGTATAGTTGAATACTCTAAAATACAGTTAAAATTATAATATTTTGTATGGTAAATCAGCAGTCATTTATATAGTTAGATGTAACCTGATATCCCTCTATTGTCTCCAGTACAGTATGATATGAACTATTATTTAGATTATTATGTTTTAGGATATTTTGAGAAATATCTTTGTCAACTGACTGTTTCATTTGGTAGTATTTAAAAATATTTAAAAGGAATATCAATGGGGATAGCCAAGTTAACTACAAAATAATTATAAACTGAAGCTTTATTCAAGTATCTTCAACCAAGGCTGGGAAATATTTTCATTTTACAGAAATTTTTGTTGTAGCAACAGTTTTTGTCCTGATAGATATTCTAAAGTCCATAAGATGTTTTCAAGGAAACACAGTTACTTTATTTTATTTTACTTTATTTTATTTTATTATTTATTTGACAATAAATGGATCTTTATTATATAGATACTTAAGGGAAATACAGTATTTAAGAACTCTATTGTCAATCTAAACTTTGTAATTAACATATATATTTTATTAGGTATGGTCTAAAACTAGATCATCCAAATGGAGACATGGGTTCTATGATTTGTAAGACGACTGGAACGTATATTGGTAAATGTTGACCATCATTCTTCATAATTCTCAGAAATGCCTGACTGACTCTGTTCCCTTGTTTCACATTCTCTTAGACCTCCCCTGCCCCTTCATCCCTTTCTTTTCAACATTTCCTCTTTACCTTGGCTTCTTTTCAGTTTCATGTAAGCATGTATAAATTACCTTTTTCCTAAGGTTTACATTGAGGGTAAACTTCTTCAGATTTCTTTTTTTTTTTTTATTCTTCTGTCATCCAGAAAATTCCATTACTAATTTAGCTGTTTTCCCTTTAGCCTTAATTTTTATGTTGTTTTTTTCCCCCTTGGTCTATGTACTCCAGGCACATAAATCTTTCAGTTCTTTTTTTCCAGTTTTATATCGACATAGATCACTATGTAAGTTTAAGGCATACAGCTTGATGGCTTGATACTCACATATTGTGAAATGATTGCCACAGTAGGTTCAGCTAGCATCCATTATAATCTTTAGTTCTAGAATGAGCTTCACTTCATTCTGTCTCAGAGCCTTAACAAGCCTCCTCCCATCTTGAGAATTTCCGATAAAATGTCATGTCTTCAAAACAGCCTTCACTGATGCCCTGCCTTCCACTCTCAAAGTTCACTCTCCCTCTCTTTGATAGCTTTATCACAATTTTTAGCTCTCCGTTTGTGTCATTGCGCTTGGCTGTTTCCTCTACTGCACAATATGCTCAGTTTGGAGAACCGAGAGCTCACCCTGCGTCTCTCATCTCCCTAGCAGAGTGTCTCCCCCAAATAAATAGCTGTTGAATGAATCAAGGAAATTTGAGGGGTATATGGTTATGCATATGTTCTTTTATCATCCTTCATTCATTATTATATTTTGTCAGGTTTTTCTAGTTATATTTTTAAAAAATTTAAGTTTATTTATTTTTAAGAGAGAATGTGTGAGTGGGGCACAGGCAGAGAGAGAGGGGGACAGAAGATCTGACGCAGGCTCTGTGCTGACAGCAGAGAGCCTGATGTGGGGCTCAAACTCACGAACCATGAGATCATGACCTGAACTGAGGACAGACACTTAACCGACTGAGCCTCTCAGGCACCCCTCTAGTTACAATTTTGAGACATCTTAGTGTGTATATTTTAAAATACTTCTTTCAGATAATGTCTTTGAGGATTAATAAATGGTTGTGTAATTACAGTTTTAATTTTAAATGTCTACTTTGGTTTTAAATCAGCTTTATAATGTATAGTTATTGTTCTCCTGTGATTGGGAATTTAATTGATTGTGTATTTTAATTAATTCCAGGTCATCACAATGTCAGCTTCATCTTGGATAGTGATTATGGAAGGTAGGTCATTTTGTAAATAATAATTTTCATAATTGAGTCAACTGGGTAAATAAAATAAAAGTACATATTTACTTTGTGCTATAGATCCAGAGATTAAAGAACGGCTAATCACTTTCTTCTCCCAAATTAATATTTAAGGGGTCCGTAACTCCCTTTCTCCAGTTTGTATCTCAGACACAGCCTTTCAACTGTTGGGAAATCTGGCATTACCTAAAACAACAAAATAAATCTTTGATTGTGATATTGAAAAGGGTTCTTTTTATGTCTTACGGCTTTTCTGACTTCATTGTAATTCTTTTGATAACTGAATAGTTCAGTTTTGATATGAACTAATGTAAGAGTAAATAAAATCCCACAGTTAATATTACCACATAAAGGTATTCATTTAAAGCATCAAGACATACAGAGTGGTGAAAGATGGCAGTTACAGCTCTCAATTGTCCATCTTAGCACCAATGTTAATCACTTACAATCATGATTTTTTTTTTCAACGTTTATTTATTTTTGGGACAGAGAGAGACATAGCATGAACGGGGGAAGGGCAGAGAGAGAGGGAGACACAGAATCGGAAACAGGCTCCAGGCTCTGAGCCATCAGCCCAGAGCCCGACACGGGGCTCGAACTCCCGGACCGCGAGATCGTGACCTGGCTGAAGTCGGACGCTTAACCGACTGCGCCACCCAGGCACCCCATAATCATGATTTTTAATAAAGCTAGAAATCATCTTGGAATCAATCAAGATTTTATTTACTCTTAACATTAGTTCACACCAAAACTGAACTATTCGGTTATCAAAAGAATTACAATTAAGTCAGAAAAGCCGTAAGACCTAAAAGAACCCTTTTCAGTATCACAGTCAAAGATTTACTTGTTTTAGGTAATGCTAGATTTCCCAACAGCTGAAAGGCTGTGTCTGAGGCACAAATTGGAGAAAGGGAGTTATATGTAGATATCCTACATCCTAATTTCACTAAGAAAGACTACCATATGTTTATAGAAATATCAGAATATGCAAATCTCAACACATGCTGCAAACCTCATATTACAGATAATAAAGAACATTTAGTCGCAGGCATGGTACTAAGCACTTTACATATATTGTCTAGTTGAATTCTCCCAAAGAACCCATGAAATTGAGTGTTATCATCTCCCCTGTGTTGCACACTGGGAACAATGAGACTCAGGAGTGTTGAGTAATTTGCCCACGGATATTCAACTAGTTGGAAGGAGTGCTGGAATGTGAACCCACACAGCCTAACTCCAGGCTCTGAGCATTCTGTTCCAGTGCTCTGCAAAGAGTGGTGGAGGGTTACAGCCATAGAACCACATTGGATCACTACGTAACATCCTGATCCAGAATTCTTTGACCATGGCAGGATTACCTCACCTCTCTGTGCATTTGCAAATGTGTGGGGGCATTTGTTGGCTGTCACACTAACTGGGGCATGCTAATGGCCTTTTATGGGCAGGACCAAGATGTGCCAAACCTAAATGAATTATTCTGCCCAATGTATCATAGTGTCTTCCAATGAGAAAATGAGCCAGTTAACAGAAATCCAAATAAATCATACTATCAAGCCATTCAATACTAACATAGCTGTAGTAGATCAATAATAGGATAAGTCTTTTGATTTCTTTTTTGTTTCTGAAGAGAGATGAATGATTAGAAAAGATTGAGAAAAGATGAAAAAGATTGAGAAGAATGGCAATATTACAATCAAAGTAGATGTTATTCCTCACAGACTGCAAAATAAGGATGATGTTTGATCCTTTCATGCATAGAACTGTAATTGAGTTGGTGAGACCAAATCCATTATCATTGTATTTGAGGATCGGCCAGACATCCAGAAGGAATAGGTTTATAACAAATTGATGATTGGATTGCATACTTTATTATAGACCAATACAGACTGGACCAAAACCATGAAGAATATTATGATTCAAGGGCAGACCATAGTGGATGGCATGTAAATGGTACTATGACTCACTGTTGTGATTTCCATGGGGCAAATGACATAGTGTCCCATGATTTACCAGTTTTTTTTTTTTTTCAGCAGGGACACTACCTACATATGTATATAGGCAATAGGATTTTATTGAAAAAATTAGAAAATCATGTTAGGAGCAGTAATTACTGAGTTTTAAATGATTTCTTGAAACATATTTGCTTTTTTTTAATGCCACTGTCATTCTTCTTCAGGTGAAAAAGATGAATTCTTAGTTCTGAGTCTGTGTGAAAGGTATTAATTACCAAATCCATCATAGATTTCTCAGAGAAATAATTATCTAAAAATAGGTTTGAGTGATCAAGCTTGAATGTGATTGATAAGTATATATAAATCAGCATGTTGCATTAACATGCCCTGAAACTTTCAATTTTAAAAAGCCAGCAAATTTGCACATAATATAGGCAAAAATATTGCTTAAAATAGTTGATTCTGTGATCTTGGTGTATAATTCCTTTTTTTTTTTTTTTAAGCCAGTAGCTTTTCTTTTGTATTAATGTCTCAGAATTGAGGAAACTGTGTTTCTATATAAAACAATCTTAGGACTTTAAGATAACTGGTAAAAATATGGCATATACTTTTTAAAAGCCTAGTTTTATGATTAAATGGCATTAAAAAATGTTAAATCATTTTATAAATTAAAAAATCCATATTTTACAAATTTCAGGAGTCTTCCTGAATATCAAATGAACCAATTAAAGACCATCGTGGCTTCCATTCTCTATTTCTTTTAATAGTTCACCTTCTCTCCTCTATTACCCCAAGTTCAAACAACAGCTGTTCCAAACTGATAAGGTTCAGATGAGGCTGCCTTAATTGAGAAATGCCTAGTCATTATCAATGAATTAGTGAAAATCACGTCAGTGTCATACCAAATAAATTACATTCAAATTTTATTTCAGAAGGCAATTTTCCCACCAACTTAAGAAGCAGGGTTAATTTTTCAGACACAGGATCTGGCCACAGACAATATTTTTGGAGCTGGCATCACTTCAGATCTTTGAGAAATCAATTGAAAGGCTTATAGCATACAAACATGAATCCAGTATGAACTTCTTAAATAGCTAATTTAGCATTCAGTATTTGCAGAGACCCTTTAGTCTTGCAAATGTGGATCATAGTGCTTGGGTCAGATTTGTAGTTTACTGTTGGTCTCAACCACAAGATTTGCCTTATCCTTTTAGATTCTAGTTTGGTGTGTTAGAAATATAATGAATGGGCATTAAGTCTTAATACTTGAATTTCTTAACTTCTCTAATTATGAATTACATTGAGGTAATTAAGGGAACAGCATTTAATTTCTAGGATCAGATTCCTTACCGTCCACGCTCTCCAGGCTATGAAAATGCAAATCTTATGTCTGTCAAAAAATGTGGATAGGTTCTATGTTTGTGAAGGGTGACTTAACTCTGGTGCGTTACTGTTAACCTGCTTTCATTCATTGTGCTTTCATGCAGATTAGTGAGTGGCAGGAGAAGAGAACTGTGTAGGATACAGGATAGGAGCCAGGGGTCAGGACTCAACTTGCCTGGCTTCAAATTCTATTTCTACCACTTACTCCCCATGTGATTTTGAGTAACAGAAGTAGCTTCTCTGACTTGTACCTACCTCATGGGGTTAATGTAAGGATAAAATGGCATAATAAGTTTAAAGCTTAAAAAATCTTAGATTAAAAGCTTAAAAACCTTAGCATGATATCTGATAAGTGTTCAGTAATGTTACTTACTCTGATGTCAAATGGGTTATAAGAGAGGAGAGACGAGGGCTGTCAACACAAGAGCCTGCATGAAGGGTGATCCTATTTTTTTACATTAATATGAATTCTTTACTGAGGTATAATTTGCATATAATAAAATGTACATAATTTAAGTGTGCAGTTTAGTAAATTCTGACAGATGACTATTTGATTTGTATACTTTTATATTTATGTAACCAATAAGTACATCAAGATATAGAACATTTTTATCTTCCCAAAATGTTCTGTCCAGCTCTTTTGCAAATTATGACATGATTTATATCACTAAAAAAATAACATTTTCCTAAAGTAAAGTTTATTTTAAAGTAAGGATTTTTACTTTTTTTTTTACACAGGAGTTTCCCACAAAAAATGGCGTATTTTGTTTCTTCTCTAAATAAAATTTCAATGTTTCAAACATATGCAGGTATGTGACCTGTGTGTGTGTGTGTGTGCGTGTGTGTGTGTGTGTGTGTATGTGTGTGTGTGACAGAGAGAGAGAAAGAATGAGAGACACAGAAGGGGGATATGTGTACTTTCATCAAATCGAAGATAATAATGATTTAAGGGTACTATATTAATTTATGTATTGCTAAGAAAGGAAAAGCACACAAGATGGGGAGCCTAATAGGAAGCCCTGACATTAAGCTAAGTCCCTGAAAACTATATTTTAATATTTATTTATTTTTGAGGTAGGGAGAGAGACAGAATGTGAGTGGAGGAGGAGGGTCAGAGAGAGAAGGAGACACAGAATCTGAAGCAGGCTTCAGGCTCAGCACAGAGCCAACATGGGGCTTGAACTCACGAACCATGAGATCATGACCTGAGCTGAAATTGGATGCTTAATGGACTAAGCCACCCAGGCACCCCTGAAAACTATATTTTAAATAGAAGGTTGAAAAAACAAGGGAAAGACAGAAGAGAAATTTGCATGTCTCTGCTTGGGCTGTGGGTTGAGGGAGGAAAAAAAATTCTCCACTGTCAGTTTAATCTACAAGGCAGTACTCTCAGATTTATGGTCTCAGTATGGTCCAAAAGAATCCTCAAGCAGATTATAATTTATTGTAATTTACAGAAATCTCAGGTTGGTAGACTCCTAGGAGAGTGTCAAAAGCAAACACAAACCCTCCTGGAAGAATTACACTTCATTCCAGGTCAGGAGTGATTGATGGAATGGCACGTTCAGATTTCAGAGATGTTCAAACGTGAAGAAAAGTGTCTTGGAATCAATCACATATGACATATCCTGGCTTTTTCTATTTAATGTGAAACTCATATCTAAAAATACAAAGAACTTTGATAGATAGAACTAATAAGAATAAATTTCAGTAAGAATCTATCATATATCATGCACTGGCTATTTTACTAATATACCTAAAACTTTTATATATGAAGCCAGAAGACTTCCAATCATAGTTAATGTATTACCATATGAGAAAAATACAAATATAAGATGTTGGCCCAGAAATAGAAGAAAAACTTATTATTTAAGAGCATAGAGGTAAAGAGGCTGTTCTCTTGCCTTCCTGTGTTTTTTGTTTCAATCAAACAACTCTGCTCAGCCCAGGTTTTCCTTAATTTCTGCATCCTCCATTACCAGTATCTCTTTAGTACCAGTCAGCACTAAACACTGGTTCCCACGAGATGTAGGTCTCTGTGAGAGCCATATTAATTGTCCTTTTTGCAGGGTTGCACCAGAGACCAAATTGAAACATTTAATTCATTCATTTAGTAATCCAGTGCCTGTGCTGTGCTATGTGCCAAGGCTAGGTAATCTAGAAAATTTATAAAACTCAAGCATTTGGGTTTATGTGTAATGTTCATGAAATTTTATTTAATGTGTTTCTCCTCCCTCTCTCCAGAGGTCACTATGATTTCCCCGTCACGAGGAAGCATTCAAGGTGGCACCATGCTAACAATAAGTGGACGATTCTTTGATCAGACAGATTTCCCAGTCAGAGTTCTAGTTGGAGGTATTTTTTATGACTTTTAATATATTACATTATAAGAATAGATGCTGGCTTTTAAATAATTTGTAAGCATAATAATAGTCTTTTTTCAATTAATGTCTTACATTTATTTAAGTTTATTTATTTTAAGAGAGAGCGCGAGCTTGAGCCAGGGAGGGGGAGAGAGAGAAAGAATCCCAAGCAGGCTCTGCATTGTCAGCAGAACTGTGACATCATGACCTGAGTAGAAACCCAGAGTTGGACACTTAACTGACTGGGCCGCCCAGGCACCCCCTTAATGTCTTACTTTTAAAGCTGAGTATTTTCACATGGGCATTTGGTTTTGGGGCTTGATACTTTTCCCATTGCTACTTTTCAGTGAGGGCTATTTCTTGCAGCCTTACATGGCCAGGACTTGGGCTCTGAGTTCATCACCAAAGGACATTGTGTGGCAGCATCGTAGTTGCCATCCACAAATTCCCCACCATACTTTGAGACACATAAACCCTTTTTTAGCAAACTTTTAAATGCCTTTCTTGAACTGTTGTATAATTCTCAGGGGGTTGGTTATGGGGAAATGTAAAGTACATGGGGATACTCTTCTCATTCCCTTTTCACTGACTGTGTTTTATCTGGACATCGGGAATCACTGATGATGTTGGCTCTGGAAAGAGCATTAATGTGTTCTATCTTTACAAATGTACATATGGCTTGGTTCTCTCGTTATACATCCTTTTTATGTGTCTGGTTGAGACCAGTTCAAGGTAGGAAGCTGTGTAGCTCAAAAGGGAGATAGAGGATGAATGTAATAGAGGGGATCTGCCCACTTGATCATAATGACCTTACCTACCTTGATGAGCAAAGGACTGCATGTCTGTCCATGCAATTGGGTACATACTTTGTCTGATACAGCCCTCTGCCATGGTACTTTCTACTTTTAAGGAATATGCCCATGAGCCAACCAAAATGTAATTTGAAGAAAAGAAATTAATATAAAATAACCTCATCTAACATTTATATCTCTATGAATCCTTACTGGTCACTTGCATAAATATTAAAACTGAGGCAATAAGATTTTTAAATATCATGTATGTTATTTTGAAGTTTATATGTAAATATGTTTCAAATATTAAAACCAAGAACATAAAATATTTTTAATTTATGTACTGTGTTTTAGGATCTGATATTGTGATACAGTTGACATGCAAATATAACTATAGCATGTTAAATTTTTATGGTACTTCATTGCCATTAATGTGGCAACCAGGTTTAAGATTTTAAATCCTCAGTAATTCCTTTTTCTTTTAACTTGTTACTTTTTTTAAAAGGTGGGGTTTTTTTGCATTTTTTAAAATATAATTTATTGTCAAATTGGTTTCCATACAACATCCAGTGCTCATTCCAACAAGTGCATGCCTTAATCCCCATCAACTATTTAACCCATCCCCCATCCACCTCTCCTCTGGTAACCATCAGCTTGTTTTCAATAGTTAAGAGTCTGTTTCTTGGTTTGCTTCTCTCTCTCTCTCTCTCTCTCTTTTCCCTTTGCTCAGTGGTTTTGTCTCTTAAATTCCACATATGAGTGAAATTATATGGTATTTGTTTTTCTCTGACTTATTTTGCTTAGCATAATACTCTCTAGCTTCATCCACGTCATTTCAAATGACAAGATTTCATTCTTTTTATGGCTGAGTAATATTCCATTGTGTGTGTGTGTGTGTGTGTGTGTGTGTGTGTGTGTGTGTATGTGTGTGTGTGTACCATCTCCACTTTATCCTTTCATCACTTGATGGACACTTGGTCTGTTTCCATAATTTGGCTATTGTAGATAATGCTGATATAAACATTGGGGTGCATGTATCCCTTTGAATTAGTATTTTTGTATTCTTTGGTAAGTACCTAGTAGTGCAATTGCTGGATCATAGGATAATTTTTTTTAACATTTTGAGGAATCTTGTTCTGTTTTCCAGAGTGGCTGCACCAATTTGCATTCCCACCAACAGTGCAAGAGGTTTCCCCTTTCTCTACATCCTTGCCAATAGCTGTTTCTTGTGTTGTTGATTTTAGCCATTTGACAGGTGTGAGGTGATATTTCATTGTAGTTTTGATTTGTATTTCGCTGCTGATGAATGATGTTGAGCATCTTTTCATTGGTCTTTTGGCCATTTGTGTGTCTTCCTTGGAAAAGTGTCTATTTGTGTCTTCTGCCCACTTTTAATTGGATTGTTTATTTTTTGGGTGTTGAAAAATCGTCAGTAATTTCTTGAAAATAATGATTTGTTTATGTATCTTTCCCTTGCTCCAAACAAAATGGGCTAAGTTGGTTTAATATACTGTTCAAATGCACTGTTTTCTAGTTCAATTACCTTGCATTCACAGAGCGTTCAAAATCATGAAAGGTAGTGTTGAAGTATGTTTTCCAGGCCACCAGGCAAGACTTGGAAAAGATACCTTCTTCCATTTGCTAACCCTTGCCTCACTTTTCATGCGCTGTGATTCCCATGTCAGTAAATACTTAATGGACTCACCTTACATTAGGCTCTGACTGTGAGGGACACTTGGAAGTCTAAACCATAGACTCTTTGTTCAATTCAAATTGTGCTTTTGTAGAAGTATAATCATTCTCATTTAGACCCTGTCTGTTTTGGTTTCAGTCTGCCTGTGAAAATACCATTTACAAATTATTATCTCTGTTGTTTTCATTTGGAGAACTTGGACTATAGTGCCATTTTATTTATTTATCTTACCTAAGAGGGCTGGGATCATCTCCTATTGCAGATTCTGAACATCATGAGTTTATTCAGCACCTTTTCTGTAGGAGACAAAATAGAAAGCTTCACTTTGGACTCAGAGTGAAATCTCTTACAGTGACATAGTTTTATCATTTTTTAAAAATTTGTTTCTCAGAAATTACAAAATATTCTAACTCAGGCTTGTGATGTTTTGCCAGGAAAACATTACCATGTAAAAGTATGACAATTAATGAGTGATAAGCTTTCATGGAGAACATATAAAGGAAATGAAGAACCCCCAGCTTTGTTTCTTTGCTTATGCAACTTGGTTTTTATCAAAAAAGTATTTCAAGATAAGCTGATTGTGATTTACATTATGGAGCTCTGTAGTAATAGCTCTACACCTTGCTTCTTTCTAGGCCAAGCCTGTGATATTTTGAATGTCACAGAAAATAGCATATGCTGCAAGACACCCCCTAAACCTGATGTTCTCAGAACTGTATGTCCAGGTAAGTTACCAGAAGAAAGAACAGCCATTTCTGCATTTATGTAAGAAGACATATATCATTAGGGCTTTAGTACATTCAGGCTGCTAAAACAGAACACCATAGACCAGGTAGCATATAAACAACCAACATGTGTATCTTACAGCTCTGGAGGCTGGGAAATCCCAGATCATGGTACCAGCAGATTGGATGAAGGCCTGCCTCCTCATAGATGGCATCTTCCTGGGTCTAGAGAGCTCTGTGGGGCCTCTGTTATAAGGACTCTAATCCCATTTATGAGATTAGGTCCAATCTCATGACCTAAACAACCTCCCAAAGGCCCCCCCTGCTAATAACATCACATTGGGCATTAGGTTTCATTATACAAGTTTTGGAAGGGATACAAATATTCAGCCCATAACAATTAGTAACAAAAAATATTTGAACTATTTAGAATTTGTGGTGAGAATTATAATAAATTTCTTCCTAGTTTTTGGATCAGGAAATATTTGCATTAAAATAGCTGCACCAAAGCTGCACCATGCCTAAGTTCCTCAGACACCCTACTGAAAACAACACATCTCTATTGAATGAGTTCAGTGGTGACTTTATTTAAAATGAAATGAGATTACTAAATGTTGGTGCATGCTACATGGAAATTGTATAAATGCCTTTCTGTGGTTAAAAAATAAATGGGAGAGGTTAAATCCTTACTTGTCTGGAATGTTTTAAGAGTGATAACGGGATGGGAGAAAGGGGACTCAAAATTCTTTCCAGACTTTGGCCTGTGGCCAAAGTGACATCTGCAGTGATAGCACTGAGAGGCTGTGCCTGGATCTGAGGGTGTGTTTCTCATATCTTGTGCACAAAGTGAAATTGGTTTATAATTGTATCACTGGTTGGTATTTGGAGCCAAGAAAATTACATTTATCAGCCTCTTAAATTTCCTTGTTTTGGATGACATTAGAAAAAAATGACCAGTTTCAGAAGAGAATTTTGATAATCACAGTTGGTAACTTTAAAGAGAGTTGTGTATATCAGAGCACACTGCTGATGCAGAAGTTTGAGACGCACAAACTTCTCTCTGAACAAACTCAGCTGAAGAGGAGGAGCCTTTGTTTTCTAGATCCAGCCGCTCCAGAACAGCTTAAGGCTGCGGAAAGAAGGCATGTGTCTGATTGTTGTGTTTCAAGGAAGAAAAAAGAAGAAAAGTGAGATGGCTCCCTTATGATTAGGAAAAAACTTTTAATTACAGAGTTTACATTGGCAAGTGTAGGTTAACTTTAATGATAATTCTCTCTGATTCTGTCCAAGAAGGGGATGAATTCATAGCAGTTGTAATGTCAAAAAGAAGAAGAACAAATAATGACAAATCTTAAAGCTAACACTGTCTGTTCCTTGATTACTTGTAAACCATTAGTAGAGTAACTTTTGTTAGAGTAATCAGGCAAAAGTTTTGAAATCAAATGGTCTGAACCGTGAAGTTTTGAGATTCAACTATATAAAACAACATGAGTCGTGTCATAGGTAATAATTATTATATTATTATCTTAAGTAAAGCACTAATATCTAATCCCCATAGCAACCACACAAATAGTAATATCACTCCTATTTTACATATGTAGAATCTGAGGTGCAAATATATGAAATAATCATAAATAAATTGTAGACTATCTTAACAGCACTCTATACTGTGGATACAGGTATATGTACAGGTATGTGCAATTGTTTCGTTAACATGCATGCTCTAAAAATGTGAATAACAGTAATCTATAACCACCACCCACGTAGAGGGCCATTGAGACACCACATCAAAATTCTGATGAGAATACTTTTTTGTTACATTCAGGTGGGAGAGGCCTAAAGCTTGAGCTCTGGAATAATAGTAGGCCAGTACATCTTGAAGAGATACTTGAATACAATGAGAAAACACCGGGGTACATGGGTGCCAGTTGGGTAGATTCAGCTTCCTATATCTGGCCTATGGAGCAAGATACATTTGTTGCACGCTTCAGTGGATTTTTGGTGGCTCCAGAATCTGATGTCTATAGATTCTACATTAAAGGTGATGACCGTTATGCCATTTATTTCAGCCAAACTGGACATCCAAAAGATAAGGTAAGGAAGCCACAGAATACTATTTAATATTACAAAAGCAATATGGCAACCTTTATATGTATCTCATCTATTCTAATCCAAACCAATGCATATATTAAAGAGTTTATGAGAGATATTTTCATGTGATTGGGTTCTTGGCTATTTTAACATGTGTTATATGAACTATAAAGTCATCATAGAAAACCCATGGCCTAAAAAAATGCTTTCCTGTATCTAAACTTGCTCTAGGAAGGGAAAAACATGCGTATTTCCTTTAAATATCATTTTAATTATGGAAGAATTATAACCATACTTAGGCAATTTGGGAAAGAGTGAAAATATTTCACTATTCTACTACATCTATTTCACTATTACTTGGTCATGACATTGAAGTCTATCATTTCTTTTTGTGTCTATTTTGGGTTTTTTTATTTAAAAAAATGTTTTAGCGTTTATTTATTATTGAGAGACAGAGAGAGAACATGAGCATGGGAGGAAGAGACAGAAAGAGGAGGAGACACAGAATCTGAAGCAGGCTGCAGGCTCTGAGCTGTTAGCACAGAGCCTGATGCGGGGCTCGAACTCACAAACTGCAAGATCATGACCTGAGCTGAAGTCAGACATTCAACTGACTGAGCCACCCAGGCACCCCAATTTTGTTTTTTATATACATAAGATCACACATCCAATTTCATAGTCATTTTTGTCACATATAAATATTTTCACATTTTATTAAATAATTTACACAACACAATTTTTAATGACTAAAAAGTGTTTTATTGCATGGGTTTACTAAACCTGTATAACTTTGTGCATGTGGATAAAGTTTTTAGTTTACTTCTGACTTTTCATGACCACAAATAATACTCCGTTGAACATTAGTGTTCATTAAATTATTCTACATTTTAATGATTTCTTTAGGAGTTTTCATAAATGTGAAACTAATGAACCAAATCAAAAGAACATTTTATGACTCCATGTACGTGGCAAGATTGCTCCCCAACCTGGAGGAACAAATTTAAATTGTTGCCTGTAATATATGACTTCTAATTTTACCATAGCTTTTCAGCACGTTTCCTCCAAAGGTAGTATAATCTTTCCTGATGGGAAGCCCAGAATTTTCTCAATCTGGCATGCAGACCCATTTAGTGACCTTGGCATCTTTCAGACCTACTTTTGGTGATCTCTTGTAGATTAAACCCCTAAAACCTCTCCACAGAGCAAGAGGATGTTTTAACAATATCAACCTTCCTCCTGGTATATATCTTTCTATTTTCCATCGCAGTACTAATTGTGGAAAAGCTGTGGTTTGTGTGTGTTTATGGTATAGTGGTTCTGATGTTAGGTAAGGGTGGAAAGTATGAAGTGAACTTTGATAATTTTTAAACACTGGATTTCACCATGGATAACAGATCTTAGAAGAAAAATATGTAGTTTCACATTTTCTGTTCCTGAAAGTTCTAGGACTGACAGAAATAATAAATGATAAATAAATGCTGAAAAGTTTATTAATAAGTTCTCCTCTCTCTCTCTCTCTCTCTCTCTCTCTCTTTGGGATAAGGTGAAGATTGCATATCATTCTTCCAATGCCAACAATTATTTTTCCAGTCCAACACAAAGTTCAGATGACATTCATCTTCAGAAAGGAAAAGAGTAAGGTTTTTTTAATTTTCATTAAACTGTTGTGTAGTATTTAAGAACTGTAAGTTTATATCTAAAAACATTGTCAATTTGTTTTATTGGTAGAAATGATGTTATTTCATTTGCTTAATTTACAATTGGTCATTCTCTATAATTTTATTAAAAATTTCTTCTGTATTTCCAAGAATATTGACATTCATCTAACCAGGGAAATTTGAAATCTAAATATTTCGGTTGCAGAAATTATAATTTTGTGAAATTTACTTGATCCTGTTCTTAGTTTCTTACTAGGACATTTCAGTCAATTCAGCCACCTAAGCTGAGCTCTTGAATATTTCTAGAGAAGAAACATAAAACCACCTGAATTATTAACACAGCTAACATATATTTAATATTCACTGATTTAGATATTGGGCCAGGAAATTTAATACAAAAATATTCAAATCTACTCCCTACCCTTAAGGAGTATATCACTTAGTGCTGAAAGGTCAAGTCCAGGGAGAAAATGAGAATTTCATTCAAATATGAGATACCATTCAAAAAGGCATTCAGGATTCCTGGAAAGCAAGAGGTAAAAGACATGATAAATTCAAAGTAGCTAAGTTACATGGAGATCTAAAGACTCCGTGATATCATCTTCCATTTATCATTTGTATGTGTTAGGTTTTGCTGCATAAG